GATTCCTTTCATCCTCTATCACAACATCCAGTGGTTTTACACTTTCGCTCATTCGAAGAAGACACCTTTGACTTTGAGGAATTCTAAGTGTGAACATTTTTATTATATTTTAAGTTTCTCAATAAGTTTGGACACTGTAGATGGTAACAGTTATTCATTAAAATAATTCAGATTATTCGCCAATGTTTCTTTAATGTTTATTTTCAATATCAATCAAGTTGTTAATGTCAAGCTGATTGATCGCTTTTAAATGTGAAAGTCAATTACAATTTCAACTTAGGGTGTTCCTTTAATCATGACTCATCAAAACTTTAAGGATTAATTTTAGGTCAATAGACAAATGAATTAGTGGGATAATTTTTTGACCAGTGGGCTACCTGATCCCCATGAGGTGCACACACAGTGACGGGCAGCCTGTAAAACACACAGGCAGACGGCGAGCTTCTGAATGGACGAGTCGATGTAGTGAAGGCTTCCAAGCACCTTCCATAATCAGACCTCTGGCTCATTTCATCTGTCAAACACTCCTCGCTGCCCTCCGTAAAACACCCTATTTTCACCCTTCAAGAAATAACATTACATCACTCGGCCAGTCATTTTTATAAATGGAGGATCCCTTAGGCCTGAAACCTTACACTACACAAACACGGGGCCACAAGAAAGCCGGCCTTTTGTTGAGGTTGAGAGGGGAAAAAATCAAACATTAAGTCAAAGCAGCACATTTACTGAGCCGCTCAGTCAAGGAGTGGTTCTGTTTGACACCGCCGAGATTTATTATGTTGGTGAAGTGTTTACAGAGGTCAAGGCGGCTCATTTTCCAAATCAGTTTGTCAAGCATTTGCTTATCTAAAGAAGCCTTTTCATCAATCATAAAAAACTGATGGTGAGGAGAAAACTGTTAAAAGTATCAGTGTTTTTACAAAGATATATTACACATAGAGAGAAAACTTGGATTAGGTTGTTAGATATTTACCAGCCTGTTACCTTCAGTTAGTGGAAGGGTTAGGTTTCACGGGCCAATAGCAGCAGAGTCAAATTGTTTGGATATATTTTTGGAACGTCTCCTAACAGAGCGTTGCTGGGACCGACAAAACAAGCCACACTGTTTTTACCTTTGCTCCACATTTTGGACAATATTTAATATGCTTTATATATTTTCACGCTTCATCTCTTCTTAGGAATGCCACACACACAAACACGCACGGTGTCTGACAGGATTCCTTTGAAGCAAAAAAGACAAACCAAATATGCCTGGAATGAAACCGGGCAAAGACGGTTTCTGTCAGAATAAGAATTGTAAAAAAGCGAGTGTGGTTTAAATAAAGTGTTCCTTCCTCTCGAGTTTTGCTGCACCATTGTTTGTTTATACTGCACAATATTTCTGTTGGACATCCCTCACCCCAGCCCAGTAAAAATACACAGAGGGGGTCAGGAGTTCAAGCCCTAGTTCAACACTGGCATTGTCCCTGCAGGTGCTGTCAGCCGCTGCGGGCCGAAAATATACACAAGCAGCTCTGAGGATACACACTGAGGATACCCTTTGAGGATACAGTCTGAGGATACACTGTGAGGATACACTCTGAGGATACACACTGAGGATACACACTAAGAATACACTCTGAGGATACACTCTGAGGATACACACTGAGGATACACTCTGAGGATACACACACTGAGGATACACTCTGAGGATACACACTGAGGATACACTCTGAGGATACACACTGAGGATACACTCTGAGGATACACACTGAGGATACACACTAAGAATACACTCTGAGGATACACTCTGAGGATACACACTGAGGATACACTCTGAGGATACACACTGAGGATACACACTGAGGATACACTCTGAGGATACACACTGAGGATACACTCTGAGGATACGCTCTGAGGATACACTGAGGATACACTCTGAGGATACACTCTGTACATGCTACAGCTGAAACTGTTGGACTACATGCACTCTGAAATATTTAAAGGAGGGAACGTTGGTAGGACAGGACGCTTTATTTCTTCGGACCAGGTTCTATCACTCAAATACCGTTATAATTCCAATAGCAAAAAAAACAATGTTACATTTTTTATTCTTTCAGCCATCTCTCATTCTTAATGTAACGTCAGTATATAGAACCTGAAGAAGATTATTTTGTTAATAGAGTACAGAACTGCAACCATTGCAGATGGAAATGAGCTTTTAGCTATAATATAGCATATTTTCTCTCTTTGAGAATAATGTGTTTTTATACATGGTCCTTGTTTAATAAAGACACAATTAAATACAAATAAGTGAATCCACAGAAGATATATTGGCCACTGTTTTAATTGTTAATCTTAAATCATTTAAATAAAGTTCAGTTTTTAGTTATTATTTTCATGGAAAAATGGCAGAATACGCTGTTTTCAGCCACAAAAACGTATTTTTTCCTCGTTTTATATCATACTAAAATGAATACTTGAAAAAGTTTGACTGACAAAACAACTCACTTTTGTGCACACATATTTTTGGTATTTACAAACCAAGAAGACAATATCATCAATAATAAAATGAACTACCAATACTACGATACAACCGACTTCCCAACATCAGAATCATTAGAACCTCCATTGACCCTCACAGCTGTCATTTAACTTCCAGACATCCATAAAACTTAAAGTAAAAAGCACATGAGAATAAACATGTTTTATCCTCGTCAGTCATTTGAATAGATAATAATCAATTCCCAAAGGAGAGCAATCCACTAGAGGGAGCAACAAGCTGCGCCTATTTTAAAAACAGTCAGTTCATATCGAACTATTTCAGAGACATGAGCAAAACAATACTGACAACGTCCGACTGTGAGCCTCAGCACCCTGAGGTCAGTAGGAGGGTGCTGGTCACATGTTCATCATTCCTTATCAGGCTCTATCTGGGAGGAGCGGACCTAATGAAGCACAATATTCATATCATGACTTTTTTTCGCGAGAAGTTGTGTTTTTTGACCGACGTGATATGTGGACCTGGATCTTTTTAACAGTATTTACAGGAAGTGACAGCAAAGCCACCGCTTTGGGTATGGAAAAGGTTGAATAAGTGTTTTCACTCACAACTTATAGAGGTATGTTTTACCGTAGCCAATGCTTTAACACACATGAATGTAACACAAATTTAACAAACCTTTAAAATAAATATTAAATTAAGAAATACAAACATTACCAGAATAAGAGTCAGTGGATTATAGTTCCATCTCAGATCATAGAAATAACATCTAGATATTTTAGTAACCAATGACAACTCATGAATACTACATCCTAACATCAACACTAAACTCTATCTATGCCCTGCTGGTTTATAATAAGATAAGATGGACCTTTCTTTATCCCATTGGGGAAATGCAGGAGTTAAAGCAGCAACAGAGTGAGAGTGAAAAACAGGACAGTACAGATTCACACAAGGTAAAACACAATACTAAAATTAAAATGAATTAATATAGTAAATGTTAAACTATATATATATTTGGGTTCGGATAATGTGCTTCTATATGTAGAAGTTGCTTTAACAACTGTATTCAAATATTTAATATGCACGCCCTTTCGTTGCAGAAATGACAGATTAATCAAATGCTTTTGGCAATGACTTCCTTTTTTACCTTGCGTATTTATTAATTTGCACCATCCCATCTCTGAAGTAAACCAAACTAAGTGAAAGTGTCTGAACTGTTTCTCACTAGAACAAAGCAGATTAATAAAGTCTCCACAAACAGGACAGCAGATCTCCAGTGTAACGCTCCTGAGCTGCACCTCAGTATTTATAGGTTGCCAGCAGAAACAGAGAAGAATGGCTTACAGGCAGGAAGGGTCCAGGCTACTTTGTACTCTCAGCAGAGCCGAACTTTGGATGAACTCCGAGGAGCGCCAGGGAGTAAAACACTATGCATAACTGTGTCACTCCCCCTCCTAAAAACCTACCAAGACAACAGAGGGCTTCAAAAGGCCCCCCTCCGCTCCCTCCTGAGGCAGGGGCCGAGTCAATATGAACTGCCGAGGTGAACTTCCATGGAAACCTCAGTGAGAGCTTCCATGAAGCACCAGAAACAACACAACAAAGGTCAAGTATGAAGAGCAACTTTAGAGGAAGCAACATCTTCCTCATCCTCATCCTTTCCACTCGATTTCACATGCTAATGAGTGTGAAACACGCAGAAAGCATATATCTCAGCAGTGTAACTTCTGAAGAGTCCTATCAGTCTAAAGACAGGAAATAAAAAGATGAGCTATCAGTCTGAAGTGCACTGAATTCCATTTGTTCCAATTTCAGAAATGTCACAAGGAAACTGATTTGGAAACATGACTTACTGTACGCCTCCTGTGTTACGTTATTTCTCTCCTAGCAATTATTCTGCTGACACGCTCCCTCCCAACCGCTTTAATAGAGAGACACAATACGCAATAGAAAGATGCGTATTCACCAGACTTGACAGTTAGCTCACAAGGGGAGACATCAACATGCTTGTGACCATTTTTTTCTCTATTATTGCACAATAGCATTACAAAAAAAAACCTCATTCTTTTTTTGACATGATAATTGATAAGGACCGCTGGAAGTAATGTCCACAGTTCCGGTTTTGTGTGAAGAGTTAAACAGACTTTATGAGCAAGGAGGAAACAAGTGTCAGGACATTTATGATTCTGGATTGTGTTGTGACGGCAATATCCCTACACCAGGTTCTGCAGATCTGGATGAGCAAGTTACCCTTTCATGGTCAACTAGCCCACACAGAGCCTTGACTGGGTTTTTGTAGCTACCATTAGTGAGGAAGTAGTGAGTGTGTGTGTGAGTGTGTGTGTGGTGTGTGTGATGTGTTGTGTGTGTGGTTGTGTGTGTGTGTGTGTGTGTGTGTGTGTGTGTGTGTGTGTGTGTGTGTGTGTGTGTGTGTGTGTGTGTTTCACCTTGTTAAGGAGTATTTCTACTACAGTGTGGTATTTCTTGTTATAGAGCAGAATGAATGTGAACGTACCTGTTTTCTCTTTGATTTCACACAAGACATTGAAAAGAGCTGGCTTCATTCTGTGACAGTTCAGAGCGTGTTTCCTGCAACACAAGAGTGGCCTCATCATCATCACACACACTCACTCACACACACACACACACACACATTTAAAACATCTAAATTATGGACAAGGCTGCATGCTAACCATTTAAAAAAACATTTTAGATAAATGCTGAAGTACAATTACAGATACAAATTATAATAAATAAATACAAATTGTTTATTAACATATGTGTTCACATGTTCTCCAAGTGAACCCTTTTCATTGGATATATCTGGTGTTCTGTGGTTTAAAAACATGCATAGATTACTGCTTTTTTGACCAACTTTAATAATAATATTTGAAATGTCAGCTTTACTCAATTCAGAGGATTACACAAAATGTAATAATTGAGTATCAAAAATAAGGGAATATATTTGCCGTAATTAAGCGTATAAGACACTTTAAAGTCAGTAATTATATTTCAAATGTAGAATAAATATTTTTCTTTGGTTTTGTGAATGCACCTTGACTTTATTAAAGTTATTTAAAAATGCAGTCCGTGGGCGACACGTTGGCATCTGACTGTAATATACTTAAATGTTCTCTTCCAGGAGCGACTTATTCCTGTGGAGTGTGCGGGCATGCCATCGTCAGTTTAATCGTCTCAACGCTCTGCAAACCCATTATTTCTACACTCCCATTTACAATCCACTTTATTGCAGATTTAAAACATCTAAAATATATTTTCTAGTTTTTCTTTCCCCTTCTTTTTTAATGTGCGCATAGTTTTTTGCCGCCTCTCCCCGGATGGACATGTTTACCTGGCTTGCGCTTCGTCCAGGCTCTGGTCCGTGATGGTCATAATTTGCTGTAAAATGTCTCCAATGTCCTGTTTCCTCCCGTCGCCGTCCGACCCTCCGGTGCCTTCCTGCATGTGCTGCGGCAGGCCGGGGTGCCCTGCCATGCCTACCCCGGAGTGAGAGTGCATCAGCCGCGTCTGCTCGTCCATCTCTTCCTCGCTCTTATCTAATTCTCAGTGGAGCTCTCGCTGCTGAAATCCTGCAAACATGCATAAAAAGGAGGAAAAAAAGAAAGGGGAAAAAATCCCAGTGGTGTTTAAAATATTTGCGCCCGGTGGTTCCTCGCTGCTTGTGGCGCGGGGGTGCGTATGGGGGGGAAAGCGGAGATCCGAGCCCTCTTGCTCTGGCTGCCTCTCTCTCAGCTGGTCGGAGCAGAATGTGAAATCTGATCTGAAGTGCTGCTGCCTTCACTGAGAGCGGGGTGTGCGCAAAGAGGCTGCTGAACATGAACTGGGACACGTTTCTCTTGTAATGTGGCGCAGTGATCCCGCTCCTCCTGCCAAATTACAATAAAAAAGTGGCCGTGAGAAATAAGACGTGTGGATTTATTTCACTCACTACATCCCCCTTTTGCTTTTGTCATGTACAGTACAGGCTGGAGCATGAGACAGACTCCGCCTCCGCGACATGATTGGGAATATCAGACCATTTAGCCCCACCTTGAGGTGCCTCTCATGAAACGTCGATCATTGCACAGTAAAGGTGGATGCAGAGGAGAGGCTGGGAGATGTGGGAGACTCTTCGGGGTGATGAATAGAGACTCAACTCCAAATAAATAAGAGAGGCTGACACCGAGGGTCTGCTTCAGTCCCTCCCCTCTGACCCCAGCAGGAGCACCCAGGCAGGGGCGGTTCAAGACCCATTTTACTTGTGGGGCCATGCTGGGGCCGGTTATTTTATGAGGGACAAACTGATAAACTGCAACGTTGACTTTAATTAAATGTATTATGTACAACTGTAGCTTAGTTGAAATCAATAATATTAAGTTGAACCAAATATTTTAGTTTCTAAACTTAATATTATCGCCTTCAACTTACCTAATAGAGTTATGTGTATTCTGTTGACATAATACATTTAATTAAAGTTAACGTTAATTAATTTTTTCGGTGCACATTTAATGAGGGACAAAAGAGACAGTGACAGTGTTCAGCATTTTAATTTGTATGACGTCATAGCAACACATACAATATCATTGGTGGGTTTTTTAGTGACAGAATTTAAGTAGTTAATTTTGTATTTAATTATATTACGGTAAACAAAATACATTCCAGATAACTTCAGCTACTTACAGCACAATGCTACCTAACATTGTATTACAGGGGGGTCAAAGCTCATTGTTACAGGGCTCTGGCCACCCCCCCCTCTTGATCCAGCCATGCACCTAGGCGCTCGACATGAGAACATTTCATCTCCACGCTGTGCTAAGATATAACCCAAACTACTGGCCAGCCCTGTAGTTTGTTATAATCATTACAAAGATAATGTAATTTATGGTTGGAAATCCATCCTCTGATGATCCATCTTTATGTAAAGCACCTCTGTGATGCTCGTATTTCATTTCTGAGCACAATCAGACACGCTTGTTTTTGTTGCAGGAGGAATGGGAGCAGAGACATTCATTTTCAGGTATGTTGCAGGGCTGCGCTTGGCTGGCTCTGGCAGGGTCCTCCTAATGTAAGGCGGTGACCCATGTTGCGCAGCCAAGCAGCAAGGCCCGAGTGTGTCTGGCCAGGCTGAAAAGTGCCCTTCAGGCCCAGAGCTGCCTCACTGCCGCGGCTCCTCTCCGCCACTGAGAGCCATTCAGAGGGAAGAGAGGAGGAGGAGGAGGAGGAGGAGGAGGAGGAGGAGGAGAGGCAGAGAAATAGAGCTCCAGTGTGGAACTAAAGTATGAACAGTGCTGTGCAAATCATCAGCATGCATGTATACATGTGTGACACACATAATATTATGGTAAATACAAGAGT